GGGATTTCAGGCATGTGCCACCAAGCCCGGTTAATTTTCATATTTTTAGTAGAGACGGGGTTTCACCATGTTGACCAGGCTGGTATCAAACTCCTGACCTCAGGATATCCACCCGCCTCGGCCTGCCAAAGTGCTAGGATTACAGGCGTGAGACACTGTGCCCAGCCTCACTCCTGCTTCTTTCAGATCTTTACTGGTGTCATTAATCTCTGTAATCCCCCATCCCCGCAACCCCAAGGAAGCAATATTTTTGTTTACTGTCCTGGTGTGTTTGGAGGGGGTTTGAGAGGAGGTTTTCAAAGGCTTCAAGTTGGCCCTTCCTACTATAATAGTCCTTATTCCAGAGTCAGAGAACTGATATAGAGATCCTGCCAGTTACCAGTATCTCTGTTCTAATTATATATTCAGGGACTGATGAAATCACCACAGGGTGGTTCTATGGCCCTACTAAACCACTGTGATTCAAACTTGAGTTAAGACTCCATCTGACCACCACAAACCCCCACTTAACCTTATGGACTGAAGTGGTATTTTGGATCCCCAGGATTAACATCAGTTTAGAATTAGTGTTTAGATATCTCTGAAAAACCTGGATATTCCTTTTCCCTAGCACAAAGTCATTTTAGGAAATGGCCACCAATCTCTGTGGAAAAGACTTAGAGGAAGATTTTTCAGTATATTCTAGTGGCAATGCTACAGAGCTCTTTCTCAAAGGGACCCACCTTTCAATTAAGGAAGTGGGTGAGAGGTCGGAATTCTCCATTGTGGTGACTAAAATTATATTATTGGCCCTCATACAGGCAGACCTTGGAGATATTTTGGGTTTGGTTCCAGACCACTACAATAAAGAGAACATCACAATAAAGTGGTCACATGAAGTTTTGGTTTCCCAACGCATATATAAAAGTTGTATTCATCCTATAGTCTATTAAGTGTGCAGTAGCATTATGTCTAAAAACTGTGCATACCTTAATTTAAAAATACTTTTTTTGCTAAAAAATGCCAACAATCATATGAGCCTTTACCCACTCAAAATCTTTTTGAGGATGGAGGATCTTGCTTCGATGTTGATAGCTGATGACTGATCAGAGTAGTGGTTGCTGAAGGCTGGCGTGGCTGTGAGAATATCTTAAATTAAGACAATTGAGTTTGCTACATTGATTGACTCTTCCTGTCATGAATAATTTCTCTGCAACATTCGATGTTGTTTCATAACTTTTTACCCACAGTGGAACTTCTTTCAAAATTAGTCAGTCTTGTCAAATCCTATCACTACTTCATCAACTAAGTTTATATAGTATTCTAAATCCTTTGTTGTCATTTCAATGATGTTCACAGTGTCTTCACCAGGAGTGATTCCATCTCAAGAAACTGCTTTCTTTGCCCATCTGTAAGAAGACACTCCTCATTCATTCAAGTTTTATCATGAGATTGCAGCAATTCAGTCACATCTTCAGGCCTCACGTCTACTTCTAGTTCTCTTGCTATTTCCATTACATCTGCAGTTACTTCCTCCACTGAAGTCCTGGGGCCCTCAAAATCATCCATGAGGATTGGAATCAACTTCTTCCAAACTCTGTTAATGCTGATCAATTTTGACTTCCTTCCATGAATCACAAATGTTCTTAATGACATCTAGAATGGTGAATCCTTTCAAGAAGGTTTTCAATTTACTTTGCCCAAATCCATCAGAATAATCACTATCTATGGAAGCTATAGTCTTATGAAATGTATTTCTTAAATAAGACTTGAAAGTTGAAATTGGTCTTTGATCCATGGGCTGCAGAATGGATTCTATGTTGGCAGGCATGGGAACATTAATTACCTTGTACATTTCCATCAGAGCTATTAGATGACCAAGTGTACTGCCAATGAACAGTAATATTTTGAAAGGAATCAATTTTCCTGAGCAGTAGATCTCAAGGGTGTATTTAAAATATTCCATAAACCATACTGTAAACAGATGTGCTGTCATCCAGACTTTGTTGTTCCATTTATAGAGTACAGGCAAAATAGATCCAGCATAATTCTTAAGGGTTAGGATTTTTGAAATGATAAATGAGAATTCGTTTCACTTTAAAGTCACCAACTGCATTAGCCCCAAACAAGAGAGTCAGACTGTCCTTTGAAGCTTTGAAGCCAGACGTTGACTTCTCTCCAGCTATGAAATCCTAGATAGCATCTTCTTCCAATAGAAGGCTGTTTTGTCTGCATGGAAAATCCATTGTTTAGTGTAGCCATCTTCATTGATGATCTTAGTTAAATCTTCTGGGTAACTTGCTGCAACTTCTACATCAGCACGTGCAGCTTCACCTTGCACTTTTAAGTTATGGAGATGTCTTCTTTCCTTAAACCCCATGAATCAACTTCTGCTAGTTTTCAGCTTTTCCTCTGCAGCTTTCTCACCTCTCTCAGCCTTCACAGAATTGAAGAGAAGTTAGGGCCTTGCTCTGGATTGGGCTTTGGCTTAAGGGAATGTTGTAGCTGATTTGATCTTCTATCCAGACCACTAACAGTTTCTCCATATCAGCATATCTGCTACATGAATTCTTCAAACACTTTTTGAACCTGGAGTGTTTGTTCCTTCTGCTTCAAATATCCTTGTTCCTTTGTTCCTTCTGCCTCAAATATCCTTCCCCCCTCCTTTACACAAAACTTTCTTACTAGTCTTTTACTATCCAACTTCCTTTGTGAGAACATCCATAACTACCCTGGGATAATTAATTGCTTATTTCTTTGTTCCTTAACATTTTGTGTGTACCTCTACTCTTTTACTTTGCAGATTGAATTGCATCTGTTTCCCTCACTGAACTGGGAACTTTTTTTTTTTTGAGACAGAGTTTCGCTCTTGTTGCCTAGGCTGGAGTGCAAATGGCATGATCTCGGCTCACTGCAACCTCCGCCTCCCAGGTTCAAGCGATTCTCCTGCCTCAGCCTCCTGAGTAGCTGGGATCACAGGCACCTGCCAACACACCCGGCTACTTTTTTGTATTTTTAGTAGAGACAGGGTTTCACTATGTTGGCCAGGCTGGTCTTGAACTCCTGACCTCAGGTGATCCACCCGCCTTGGCCTCCTAAAGTGCAGGGATTACAGGCGTGAACCACTGCACCCGGCCTAAACTGGAAACTCTTTAAGGCAGGTCATATTAATCCTTTTAAGCCCCAACATTTGCCTGCATATAGAAAGCACCCAATAAAGGCTTATTGAGTTGAATGTATCTGAATGCATGCAAACCAAATAGATTTTAAAAGAAACGGAAGGAAGCTTCTCAGCAATTTCAGGAGATGGACACCATAAGCAAAGAAATGAGGCTGTTGAGAATATACAGTTGGGAGCTATCACATACATTTATTTTCTATTATTTATTATTTATTAAGTGCTTCAAAAAGGCTTTGAGGCAGCTATTTTTAAATGTTGGAAACTTTTCTCTCCAAAGGCAGTACTTTTGATTTATTTAGCTAGAACATGTGTTATGTTGATAAAAAGAAAAGGGAATGGCCAGGTGTGGTGCCTCACACCTGTAATCTCAGCACTTCGGGAGGCCGAGGAGGGTGGCTCACTTGAGGTCAGGAGTTCAAAACCAGCATGGCCAACATGGTGAAAACCCATCTCTACTAAACGTACAAAAATTAACCAGGCGTGGTGGTGAGCACCTGTAGTCCAAGCTACTTGGCAGGCTGAGGAAGGAGAATCACTTGAACCTAGGAGGCGGAGGTTGCAGTGAGCCGAGATTGTGCCACTGCACTCCAGTGTGGGCAACAGAGTGAGACTCTGTAAAAAAACAAAAAGAAGAAGAAAAGAAAAAAAAAAGGAAAAGAAAAGAAAAGAAAAGGGAATACGTTAGAGCATTAGATACATACTATTTCAAATTAGAGTATCTAGACTGTAACTGTCCTGGAGGCAGAGACTGTGTGAATATAATTTCGTCTTTACACAATACCTAGCTCATATATACATAAACTCTTAAATGATTTTTGGCATGGCAGTGATTTAATAATCTGTGAATCTATAGTCATTTGCAGTAAAGTGGGGATCTGGTAATTATTTAATACCTCGATATGAATAAATAAACCAGATAAGTCACATTCTTCTGGAATTCTCCCTTGCCAAAAAAAAATGCTTTTTGAGATATTATTATTCTGTTCTCTATCTACCTTTCTTGCATGAATTAGGTAGCCATAAAAGTTTCGCTTTACCTCACCTTGTTATCTCAAAAATTAATGAGGATGACAATCATGTTAAAAAATGCAATTGCATTACTGTTTTTTTTTTTTTTAAATGATAGTAGCGATGATTACTATGGTGAGTTTTCTTGTATCCCTGAGCAATGATCTAGCTTTGGTCAGTAGCAACAGCCATAACAGTAATACAGTTGGAAAAGTTCAGCAGTTGAGAATTTATCATTCAATAGAATTGTGGAGTGAGGTGATGGCAGGAGCAAGGGAGATTTTTTAACTTATAGAGTACTTTGTGATGTTTATTAATATTTCTTTCTTTTTGTTATTAATACTGGTCTAGTAATATTCTTCTGTACCATTTGGTGATACCTTTTGGAGTCCAGATGAATGAGTCAACATCTCAAGAGGAAGTCAGACCTGATCAGGTTCTTGTCCTACATAGGTTTATTACATTTATGAGAAGATTTGAGATTCAACATTCTTGGGAAAACTGAGATGCAAAATCATAGTCTATCATTTAATTATTTCTCTTTTTGGTTGAAGTATTCAGCATTTTGACAGAAATGCTGAAAAGGGGGTCAAAATAACAGTTGAGTCATGGCGACCTGCTTCTAGTTGGTTGGCATTCCTTGATTATATATAAAAGTCTGTTATTGTTTGAATTTGTTGATACAACTACTTTGTGTAATTTTATTTGGCATGATATTTACTCATTATGTGACATTTTTAAAAGTTAAAAGCTTACTGTATTAAAGTATAAGACAGTAGTTTAATCCACAGCTCTTTTTGGATGCCATTTACTAACACTGTTTCTATTTCAGGAAAATGGAAAAGACAAAAAGAGGAAATGGAACTCAACTGAAGTGAACGAGCTTCATGAGGTAGAGTTGGCATGAATAAATCAGATATTAATGCTGGAGAATAAACTAGATAAATCAATTTTCTTATGGTAAAAGAAAAGATGTGGGTATTCAAAAAGATAAATAAAATTGCAAAAGGGAAAGGACAAACTCATGTTGATTATTAAGCTGATTCATTTGAGTAAGTTGTGGGAAACTTCCATAGACAGGTAAATTATTTGTGAAGAGCTGTTATAAATTACAGATAAATAAAGAATTCTTTCTAAAGTTATCCTAAAAACTGTAACGACCAGCTTTTAGGATCACTTTACTATCATGCTGAAAATGTAATTTCCAGGTTAATCATTTAAGTAACTTTGTGTTTAAATAAATACAAGGCTACAATAAAGAAAAACATTTCATAGAAAAGGGGAGGCAATTGAAAATAGTCCTATAGATTCACAAGTGAGTTGACTAATGTGAGTTTTTAAAATATCCTACTGATTGTTGATGGCTGACACCTGTAATCCCAGCACTTTGGGAGACCGAGGTGGATCACTTGAGGTCAGGAGTTTGAGACCAGACTGGCCAACATGACGAAACTCCATCTCTACTAATAATACAAAAATTATCCGGGCATGGTAGTGCATGCCTGTAATCCTAGCTACTTGGAAGGCCAAGGCACGAGAATCACTGTAACCCAGGAGGTGGAGGTTGCAGTGAGCTGAGATTGTGCCGCTGCACTCCAGCCTGGGCAAGGGTGAAACTGTGTCTCCAAAAAAAAAAAAAAAAAATTCTATTGTCAGATTTTTAAAGTACATTAGCATGTATACAAAAACTATTTTGTTGCTATTCATAAAATTAATCCTTTATTTCCTCAATTAAGATGAAATGCTTTTTCTTTTTGCCACAAATACAGAAAGTGATTCTAGCAGTAAAACAGTAGTATTTCCAAAGGTCTGATTTCCCTATGCTATAGTTTCAAATCATGTTTCTATAAAGTGTTGTATAATTCAAGAATTAATGTCATCTAAAATGATTCCTAGCGTATTACTTTGTTAGTAATAGGAAGATGTGATGACATTTTGAACCAACACATTTTATCTTGTAAATGCAGAAAATACACTGTGATTACCTCTTTGCTTCTAGTATATAACATTATATCCCAGAAAAATTAGGGATGTTTGGTTAACTCTTACAAAGCAATAAACTTTCCTTTACTTGGAATAATTTATACAACTTTGTGGAAAATCAAGTCACATTGAAATTGGTGATTTTTTTTCTCTTTTCAAAGACTTTACAGAGTGTGCCAGACGTTCCTGTAAAAGAGGCCACCAACAATGTGGTGGAGAAAGCAACGGATGAAATCAAATCCCAAGGTAGAGAACTAGCCTTTCTCTTATACAATAGAATCTAAAACTGGCCAGGCGTGGTGATTCACACCTGTAATCCCAGCACTTTGTGTGGCCAAGGCGGGTGGATCACCTGAGGTCAGGAGTTCAAGACCAGCCTGGCCAACATGGTGAAACCCCTTCTCTTCTAAAAATACAAAAAATTAGCTGAGTGTGGTGGCGGGCGCCTGTGATCCCAGCTACTCTGGAGGCTGAGGCAGGAGAATCAAGTGAACCTGGGAGGCAGAGGTTGCAGTGAGCTGAGATCGTGGATTGCACTCCAGCCTGGGCGACAGAGCAAAACTCCATCTCAAAAAAAAAAAAAAATCTAAAACTATCTTTAAAATTTTACTGGGGATGCATTCTTCAAGATTTTGCATTTTAAAGACATAATTTCAGGGGATATTTTATTTTATTTTTATTTTTTAGAGATGGGCCTTGCCCTGTCACCCAGATTGAAATTCAGTGACATGATCATACTTCACTGCAGACTCAAAGTCCTGGGTTCAAGTGATCCTCCCACCTCAGCCTCCAGAGTTGCTGGGACTATGGGTGCACACTACACTACTTCACCCAGCTAGTTTTTTAATTTTTGTTTTTGTAGAGACAAGGTCTTGCTGTGTTGCCTGGGCTGGTCTCAATCTCCTGAACTCAGGTGATCCTCCTGTCTCAGCCCCCAGAGTCAGTGAGATTATAGGCCAGAAGGTATTTTAAATGCAATTTGGGAAATAATTTAAAATGCATTTCGTTCACCTTCTATTAATGCTTTTGCGGCAATTTATGATTATTCATCTTGTACTTAACGATAAAATTTATCTAAGAAAACTGACTGACATCTAGCAGGCAACCCACTAATACAATAATCAAATGGATAACTCCAGTGATTTGGGATGCTTATTGTCGTTGGCCCTGTTTATTGTTTTTGTTTTTGGTTTCTTTTGGTGTTTTTTTTTTTTTTTTTCCCCCGAGACGGAGTGTCACTCTTGTTGTCCAGGGTGGAGTGCAATGGCGCGATCTCGCTTCACCGCAACCTCTGCCTCCTGGGTTTAAGCAATTCTCCTGCCTCACCCTCCCGAGTAGCTGGGATTACAGGCATGTGCCACCACGCCTGGCTAAGTTTGTATATTTAATAGAGACGGGGTTTCCCAATGTTGGCCATGCTGGTCTCGAACTCCCAACCTCAGGTGATCCGCCCACCTTGGCCTCCCAAAGTGCTGGGATTACAAGCATGAGCCACTGTGCCTGGCCTACCCTGTTTATTGTTTTTACACTTGTACTTGACCACATATTTATTCCATTTGATCCAAAGCTTGACTACTAGCCCCATCCTTAATCCAAATTCCACATAATTATGCAGATTGAAAATTTATAGGATTAAAAAGGCTTCAAAAAAGTAGATAAGACATTCATCTCTTTCATTACAGGTCTTTTAACTCCAAATACTTAGTGAAATCCCATACCACCAGAAATTCTTTACAATATGTAAAATTTAACAATTTTACTGTAATTTTTCTTCAATTTACAAGTGTTGAATGTTTAGTATATGCTAGGTTGAACTAGGACTGAAGTATAATAATATCAAAGTGTTTTCTAAACTATAAATTGATATATAGATGCTAGTTGTAATTTTTAGGTGCTGGGTTTTGTTTTGTTTTGTTTTCCCCAAAGTGTTTTTCTCTCTTTTTAAATCAACTAAGAGTAACTATTTACTATTCTTAGTAATACGCATTGTAATACATAGTTATTAAAACCCAAACTTTCACTTGGTGTGGTGACTTATGCCTGTAATCCCAGCACTTTGGGCGGCTGAGATAGGAGGATCATTTGAGGTCCAGAGTTTGAGACCAGCCTGGGCAACAGAGCAAGACCCAATCTCTAAAAAAAATTTTTTTAAGAGAAAAAAAAAAAAGAACCAAACTTTCCTTCAAATTATGCTACAAGGCTATAGTTCCTGAAATAGCATGGTACTGGTATAAAAGTAGACACACAGACATAGTAGAGAACCCAGAAATAAAACCAAATACTTACAACCAACCTTGACAAAGCATACAAAAACATAAACTGGGGAAAGGATACCCTATTTAATAAAAGTTGCTGGGGAAATTGGCTAGCTACATGTACAAGAATGAAACTGGATCCCTATCTCTTACCTTATAGAAAAATCAACTCAGGATTGATCAAAAACTTAAATCTAAGACCTGAAACCTTAAAAATTCTAGAAAATAACCTAGGAAAAACTATTTTGGACATTGGCTTAGGCAAAGAATTTATAATGAAGACCCTAAAAGCAAATGCAATAAAACAAAAAATAAATGAATGGGACCTAATTAAACTAAAAAGCTTCTGTACAGCAAAAGAAATAATCATCAGACTAAACAGACAACCCACAGAATGGAAGAAAATATTTGCAAACTGTGTATCCAACAAATAACTAATATCCAGAATCTACAAGGAACTCAAACAAATCAGCAAGAAAAAAAAAAAACGATTATCCCATAAAAAGTGGGCAAATGACATGAACAGACATTTCTCAAAAGAATATATACAAATGGCCAATGAACATGTGAAAAGGGGCTGAACATCACTAATCATCAGGGAAATGCAATTAAAACCACGATGAAATACTACTTTACTCCTGCAAGAATGATCATTATTAAAATGTCAAAAAACAATAGATGTTAGCATGGATATGGTGAAAAGGGAATGCTTGTACACTGCTGGTGGGAATGTAAATTAGTATAACCTTTATGGAAAAGAGTATGGAAATTTCTTTCTTTCTTTTTTTTTTTTTTTTTGAGATGGAGTCTCGCTCTGTTGCCCAGGCTGGAGTGCAGTGGCATGATCTTGGCTCACTGCAAGCTCCGCCTCCCGGGTTCACGCCATTCTCCTGCCTCAGCCTCCCGAGTAGCTGGGACTACAGGCACCCGCCACCATGCTCGGCTAATTTTTTCTATTTTTTAGTAGAGACGGGGTTTCACTGTGTTAGCCAGGATGGTCTCGATCTCCTGACCTCATGATCTGCCTGCCTCGGCCTCCCAACGTGCTGGGATTACAGGCGTGAGCCACCGCGCCCAACCGAGTATGGAAATTTCTTAAAGAACTAAAAGTAGATCTACCATTCAATCCAGCAGCCCCACTACTGGGTATCTACCCAAAATAAAATAAGTCATTATATTAAAAAGACACCTGCATGTATATATTTATTGCCGCACAATTCACAGTTGCAAAGATATGGAACCAACCTAAGTGCCCACCAATCAATGAGTTTGGATAAAGAGCACTTTGGGAGGTTGAGGCGAGCAGATCACAAGGTCAAGAGATTGAGACCATCCTGGCCAACATGGAGAAACGCCGTCTCTACTAAAAACACAAAAATTAGCTAGGTGTGGTGGCAGGTGCCTGTAGTGCCAGCTACTTGGGAGGCTGAGGCAAGAGAATTGTTTGAACTCAGGAGGCAGAGGTTGCAGTGAGCCGAGATCATGCCACTGCACTCCAGCCTGGCAACAGGGCGAGACTCCGTCTCAAAAAAAAAAAAAGAAAAAGAAAATGTGGTATATATACACCATGGAATACTACTCAGCCATAAAAAGAATGAAATGATACCTTTTGCAGCAACTTGGATGGAGCTGAAGGCCATTATTCTAAGTGAAGTAACTCAAGAATGGAAAGCCAAATACCATATGTTCTCACTTAGAAGTGGGAGCTAAGCTATGAGTATGCAAAAGCATGCAGAGTGATATAATTGGCTATGGAGACTCAGAAGCGGGAGGGTAGAAGGAGGGGTAAGGGATTTAAAAAAACTACATATTGGGTACAATGCACACTACTCAGGTGACGGGTGCACTAAAATCTCAGACACCACCACTATACAATTTATCCATGTAACCAAAAATCACTTGTATCCCTGAAAATTAAAAAAAAAAAAATTTAAAGAACCAAACTTTCCAACACTTACTCTGTCTTTCTTATAAACTTAGTACTGTTTTCACAGCTTCACTAACTTCTAAAAATTTTCTTCCTGGCAAGTCTTTACTTGTCCTCTTCTACCTGTCTCTACCTCCTGTTTTTCTGATTTTACTTCCTTATACCAAACATCTACCACCAACACTGCATACATATACTTTGCCTTTACCTTAATCACTTGGGCCAGGTTTATAAATTAACTCATTCATTTTATTTTATTTTATTTTATTTTTTGAGATGGAGTCTTGCTTTGTCATCCAGGCCGGAGTGCAGTGGCACAATCTCAGCTCACTGCAACCTCCGCCTCCCGAGTTCAAACGATTCTCATGCCTCAGCCTCCCAAGTAGCTGGGATTGCAGCCACCTGCCACTACGCCCATCTAATTTTTGTGTTTTTAGTAGAAACGGGGTTTCACCATGTTGGCCAGGCTGGTCTCGAACTCCTGACCTCAGTTGATCCACCCACCTCGACCTCCCAAAGTTCTGGGATTACAGGCTTGAGCCACCATGCCTGGCCTAAATTAACTCATTCATTTTAAAGATGCCAAACACAATTTTGATCTAGATAATTTGTTATACATTTAATTAGGTGTTCACTTTAATTAGTTTGTGGCCACATTTGCACCTACAAAACTGTACATATATGTTCCATCAGGTAATGTATCACCTACCAGAAAACATATCAAGCAAGAGTTTGTGGTCTTTCCTCTTCTTGTACTTTCAATTTCTCTTATTGCTTTTCAATGTATGGTAGAGAGAAATGTGTTTTGTTTAAAATTATTTATCCCAGTATATGATATGTACTGAAAACATTGCAGTTGCTTATTCTGATATCATACGCAATGCAGTGTACTTATTTATTAAATGATCAGTCACTATAAAAACTTTTTATTCTAAATCCCTCGTTTGTGAATGTGTGTGTATATGTGGGTATATACAAAGTAGGAAGAGAAACTGTTATTGCAATTTCAACAGGTCAAAGGAAGTGTCTTCATCCTTGTTACATATTTGTCAAAATTAAAGTCA